GGAATTAGACCTATATACGAAGGGGTTATAAGAGCAGTATATATAATAATAATAATAATAATAATAATAATAATAATAATAATAATATTACTGTAATAATAATTCATAGGTCTAGGTTACATTTCTCACTTTTGATCATTTTTTAATTCTTGTATTTCTTTACTATTATTATTAATTTTATTATTATATTTTATTATTACTATTATTATTATTGTAATCATTATTATTTTATTTTGGTGAACAGTATTTTAATTAATAATTTTATTTACTATGAATAATTATTATTATAATTATTATTACAATTACATTTTCGCCCCCCAGGCCCTGATGTGGTCAGTGATTTATGCCCGGTATTAATCCTTAAAAAAAAAAAAAAAAAAAATGACCCACAAAAAACTTTCGGTTTTTAAAGCTTTTCGGTTTTCGGAATTTCGGATAAAGGGTTGTCAACCTATATTTTATTTGTTTTTCAGTCACATAAGAGAATTTAAATAAATTGTCCACAACTTTTATAGTTTCATTATACAGTTAACCCTCACTTTACGCGGTTAATGTAACCCGGAGGGAACCGAGGAAAGCGAGAAACGCGTAAAGTGAATAACATAACATAAGGGATTGATTGAAATGGAGTCCAGGCCGATCCCCAAACTCCACTTTTTGACGACACATAACTATGTTGTAGTAAAAATAACATCTTAATTTTATGATGGTACATGCACACAATTAATACTTAAGAGAAATAGAGAAATACAGTCGCCAAGTTAATGTCCATTCAAATAATGGACTCAACTCCCTCCCCCTCTTCTCACACTACACTGCTGGCTCTTCCTCTCTGAGAAATTTGGGGGGAAAACCAGGTATAGTAATAAATAATACCTCAAACTAAAGTTAGGATAATATAATTGACATTGCTGGATTCCTTGTAAGACCAGGAATATTTTGAATATAAATGTCATATATTTTTCACAAAAGATAACATATTTACTCAGATTAAACATTTTATCTAAAATTTGTATGTCTAATGCAAAATATATGATGTTTATATTCAAAATGATCATCAAATTGTAAGAATTCCAGCAATGTAAATTATATTCTGGCCGGGTAATTTGTATGAATTTTATGAGCTAAAACAAATATCTTCAGTTAATAAAAAAAAAAAATATTCTTCACGACACTATCTGTCAATCAAAGTACCCCACCTTGCCTCCCCCCTCTTCCAACCGCGCGGTCAGTCCCAACCCTCCCCCCCACCCCCCACCAATCCTCCCTTCAAGAGATGTTGGGTGAAAAACTTAGATTTTAACATTTTGTATTAAATAATACCTCAGATTAAAGTTAGGATAATATAATTGACATTGCTGGATTCCTTGTAAGACCAGGAATATTTTGAATATAAACGTCATATATTTTGCACAAAAGATAACATACTTACTCAGATTAAACATTTTATCTAAAAATTTTATGTCTAATGCAAAATATATGATGTTTATATTCAAAATGATCATCAAATTGTAAGAATTCCAGCAATGTAAATTATATTCTGGCCGGGTAATTTGTATGAATTTTATGAGCTAAAACAAATATCTTCAGTTAATAAAAAAAAAAATATTCTTCACAGGGTAACAGATGGTCAGTCGGTCCCTCCCTCCCCCCACCCCCCACCAACCGTCCCAAGGAGATGTGTGGGACAACCAGAATATTTAACTTTAGTAATAAATAATACCTCAGATTAAAGTTAGGATAATATAATTGACATTGCTGGATTCCTTGTAAGACCAGGAATATTTTGAATATAAACGTCATATATTTTGCACAAAAGATAACATACTTACTCAGATTAAACATTTTATCTAAAAATTTTATGTCTAATGCAAAATATATGATGTTTATATTCAAAATGATCATCAAATTGTAAGAATTCCAGCAATGTAAATTATATTCTGGCCGGGTAATTTGTATGAATTTTATGAGCTAAAATAAAAATCTTCAGTTAATAAAAAAAAAAATATTCTTCACACGGTAACAGATGGTCGGTCGCCGGTCCCTCCCTCCCTCCCCCCCACCCCCCACCAACGTCCCTACTAGATAAATGTGTGGGAATACCAGACTGTTTACCTTTTTAGTAATAAATAATAAATCAGACTAAAGTTAGGATAATATAATTGACATTGCTGGATTCCTTGTAAGACCAGGAATATTTTGAATATAAATATCATATATTTTGCACAAAAGATAACATATTTACTCAAGAGTAAACATTATATCTAAAATTTGTATGTCTAATGCAAAATCTATGATGTTTATATTCAAAATGATCATCAAATTGTAAGAATTCCAGCAATGTAAATTATATTCTGGCCGGATAATTTGTATGAATTTTATGAGCTAAATTAAAAAAAATTATACTTCACCCGTGTAAAGGGGTACACCCACCGCGGAATGTGAGCATCCTGGGTTCTGGCAGGGCACCGCGTAAACGTGGAAACGCGGAATGTGGGACCGCGTAAAGTGAGGGTTGACTGTATGTAACAATGGGACCATGCAATACCTTCTTCCTCTCTCACGTGGGGCAGGGAGCAGTACAGACCAAAGAGACCCCTCGCAGTCAGTAATGGAAGTTGTCAGACACAGAGGAGCGAGGGCTGTGTTGTTTAAACCCTCATAGTTTAGTGGATATGTGTACATAATGTTGTTATACATGTGCATATAGCTATTTATATGTACTGTACTGTATTTTGCATACTCCAAGAGCCGGCATGAAAAACTTGCTGATTTTACTTTCTCCTGGGGTTCATTTTACCTAACTCCCGTGAGCTTTAAGGGAATACTGTATAAACAAGTTTCCCTCTAAATTCCCCACTAAAGCAATGTTATCTGAAAACACAGCTGACTCAACCCCCACTTGTATCCCTCATACTGTATACTCTAACACATTTCTTTTCCTACCATTTTTCCAACAGTTTTCATTCACCATATTGTCAGAATCCTCATCACTTTTCTTTTTCTCACACTTACAAAATTCTCTATCATCTTATTCAATACTCAAACTCTTCTGTCATCATATTCCAATTCTCACCGTCTGCAAGCAACTAAAACAACTATCTCTAAACAAATTTTTGCATGTTAATGCCATCAATCTACCATGATGTTCCTCTCTTTCCATGATATATTGATATATCTAGGCAATCTTCATGTTAAAGTAAATACATTAAATTAACTTAAAAGTTTACCTCACCTGATTATCTTTAAGTGGTGGGTTGTGTTTGTGTGTAAGAGCTGCTTTCACCAGGTATGTGACAGCCTCTACACCCCATTCTCTCATACGCACATGCGGATGCTGACACACATCCAGCAGGTGATTGGTCACTGGTCTCCACAACACTTCCACTCGTCCCAAGTTAACAACACCTGAAAAAATGATGATACTATATATCGTCTGAACATTTCACAAGTAGCATATGTCAGTAACTTATACTATGTGTGCTAATTCCTCCTTGCACTACCAGATGGTACTTGTAGATTATCTTACCATTTTGGTCAAGGAACTACAAAGTTGGTTCATTTGAAATCTAAAAATGTGTTGAGAAAATGTTAAGTGTTCAAATCCAAGTTATACTGCAGTACAGTAATATTATATAAAGAATGAGGATGTTCAGAGCCAGTTCTTAGGAGTTTCAAATTAATTAATCAAGATACAATAACAGCATCCATATCATCGAGTGGTGAAACTCTACATAGAAAACGGACATTCAGTAATGAGCTTCTCACCTGTCTCAAGAAGTTTGGCAACAGCAAACAGTGATGGCTCCCTATTGGTATAAGCCAGCTCCATACTTTCCCTGGAGAGTTGACAGAGAGCATCAATAAGATGATGGAGAGCCACATCATTGAGATGCTGAGAAGACTCAAACAGACGACTTAGCATCGATGAGAGAACCGGCAGATCCGCAATGACTGCTGTTGTGATCACAGCATTGGTCTCTGCAGTGCTTCTCCCAGCCTACGAAGATATGTAAGAGTGTATTACAATATACAGAAATTAGACACAGTCTTATACTCAACCCCTTTAACTTCCTTCAGCAGTTGACTGCAGACGTGTTACATTATGGAACGGAAACCCAAAAAATGTCAAAAGTTCAGACCAGTTTCACTGTATGGGCTAACATTTCTGACTTCAAATTTGATACTAGAATTAGAAATTTTCTGAATCACAAAACAGAAATAATTTAATTGAAACATCCAGTGAGGTGTAACTCTACTTGACAAGACTTGTGGCACAATAATACATAAAACCTTCAATTTCCACATGTCTAACTAGCCATTTACCTAATCAACATACCGGGTATCTTTCACATTCAGTCAAAGTCTTACATATATTTCCTAAACTCAGTCAGGTTGGTTAGCATTAGGGTGGTTAACTTTCAGGTGATCCCAAACAAATAGTAAACCAACCCTTGCCAACTTTATGTAGGGATATCTGAATATTGAAGACCTCCTAGACAATGGGTCTGTATTTATAATGAGCTGCTTGGTGAAGGACAATGGAGAGATATTTAATATTTTCTTAAATAAAAATTATGCTGGAGGGGATATTAACAATAAATATTACAAAGTCTTGGAGTTCAAATTTTTTATTGTAATAAGGTAGTTTGGGGTTTTTATTGTTAAATTTAGTGGGCTGGGAAGCAGAAATCTGGGGTCTGGAATGCAGCTCATTTTTCCCAAGATTTTAATTGTATCCCTGAACTTCCTGGACAAGACCTCATGAGTTGTCATCTCCAGTAGTCACTATGATATCCCCCTTAAAAAACAAAAATATTATCAAGAATTACCAAACAAAATATTGAAATAAAAGATGCTAAACTAACCAAGAGACATGATCAAGCAGGAGAGCGAGCTTACCGGACTAACAGGGTCATTAATTAATTAGTGGCAGACATTTGGGTCCCTTCCCTTAGTATAACCCTGATCCTAACATGTTAATTTCCACAGATTCATTATTCACTACATTCACCAGGTTAATATACAAGAGTTTACTGTATACCTCCTCCTCTCCTTGGGTCTAACTTGAAAAATTTCTAATGGTTTAGTTAGTTACACAAGTGTGACATTGTAGACCACTAATAATGGTATAGCTAGTTACACAAACACAAGTATGATACAGTATTGTAGTCCACTTATTACTACAAATTTATTGAAAGCAAAAACAAGGAATAGACATCTCACATAAAGATCTCTGGTTCTGTATTCGTCTTTGTGTCTGGTACAGTACAGTACCTTTAAGCTTCCACCAGTTGAAGGCTTGAGACCCAGTATCCACACGAGGTGTTGGAGGGTTGTGAGGAGGAGGTGCCATGCTGCCCCTAACACACCACCATGACAGTGTGCCATTGACAGGGTTGCCCGCATACACTGCAGGTTCTTATTGGTCAGCATCACTGGTCCTTGCTGTGCCCCAACTGGCAGTGATGGTGTCGCCAGTGCCGTCCCCACAGCTACGACTTGATGACGGACCTGCCAGGGAAAATTAATCTAGGTCTATAATGCCTGTCACACTGTTTCCTAAAGCCTTCAGTATTCCAAGAAAATCAGTCAGAATTAGTATTTCAGATCCATAACTTTCCTCATCAGTCTGATGGGGTATAAAAAGGGGCAAATACTGTACATTCAAAACTACACACAACATTGCCACCTGCACAAAAAACATGGACATTTAATTAAATAACTAAAAAAGAGTTATCTCAGGTACTAAAAATTTATGAAAACTTGGAACAATACAAAAGGTAAAATTGTTATCATACAATATCTGCGTATCAAAAATATTCTCAAGAGGGTAAGACTTACAAGAAATAAATTAAGAAAGTCTCGAATGTCACTGTCATTAGGAAGTAATTTATTTTTCTTATGATAACAATTGGTATTCATATACCACAAGCTAAAAAATTACAGAAAAACTGCATTCTATAATATCCCACAGACGACAGAGTGTTACATACTTCTAAACGGTGTGTCCACAAGTAGGGGCATTCCTATGGGCATAAGTGATGTAATATATTAAAGAGAGCTACTGACAGTCTCCAGTAAAGGCACCACATACTACGTGGAATTTAACCCAGACACGTAAATCAAGGACAGAAAATTGTATTTCAAATGGTGAAAAAAAATGGAGGATCATCATACTACTGACAGTGAAAAAATTTCAAAAGACAAAAGTTGAGAAAAAGCACCTCTTCTGGCACCAGAATAACACCTCTTGTACACATCTGTGTTAGATATAATAGGTCAACAGTAAATAAAAATACATCCATGTAAAATATTCCAATTGCACTAAGCACAGTTACTTATGGTGTTTTCCATTTTCCTTTGAGTTCATTAAGATCCCAGGGTAGTTATATTAACGTTCTAACAACTTTTCTTCTATGACAGACTGATGCAGAATCACCAGTACTCACCTCTGAGTCATAATATTGATGTTGCGACTCGGTACTTGGCGAGCGCTGATGACCACGGGACACGGAGGATGATGCTGCAGCAGCCACGCTAGCATTATTGAGTACTGTTAGTGTGTAGTGTGGTGGGAGGCACGATTTGCACAGGGCAGTGATGAAGGCATCTCGTGGTGTTGTCAGCTCAAGCTTGCCGGCTAAACTAGCAAATGTCTGTTGAGAAATAATCACAAGTTTAAGGGATTATTGTACTAGCCGCTATCAATTAATATTATATAAATATGGGCTAAGGGCATATATTCATTATATACATTCTACCATCAAGACTATTGAGCATACAGCTACATTAAGCATTTGTTCTGTCCTCCACTCCTAAGGTGGACAGTTTGTTGTTTCACACATTCTCGGGTATACAACCCATAAATCTACTTCTCAGCCCTCCGTGTGTGAGTAGGCCTGTTTAGATTTTATGTCTGTGTTGACGTATAGATTACTCTCCAACAACCAGACGCAGAGAGGTCAGCCAGTTCACACAGTTTCCCACAGTTCTCACCAGTTCACAGCCAGACACGATACCATAAAGACATGTTGAGAGCCTAGCTCTCCAGGCTGTACCTGTCTCTAATTATATCAGCTAATTACAAGCTAATAGCTAATGCTCATTAGTCTGGCAACAACCAACCTTGTAAGACCAGACTATCCAATATAACTAGAAAATCACCACGTGTGTTTACATTAAACCAAGGAACAACGAGTGAAGATAACAGAACCTGTGTGCACTTGTGTAACTTATAAGCTAAGATAATTACAAGTGCTACCCGGGGCGGCTGTGACGATTTCAACTATCAACCAATCTACGACTGTATCAAAGGTGACAAGCCGTGAGATTACCTACCGTAATAACTCACCCAGCTTCATCAAGGTTACCAGCAACAACCCTACACTCATTCAGGCAAGTGTTAACAAGTAAGATAGTTCAATAACAAACCACAGCCCAAACATTATGTACATTGATCTACAGCAATAAATGAATGCTGTTTCCTCTTTAAAGACCTTTTTCCACATTTTTTTATCACCCCAGTGACATTTTCCCATTTAATGGGAATGATACAAATTTCATAAAGACAAAAAAAGGCAAAAGAAAGAAATTTCATATTCTAATTTTTTTTTTTTTTTTTCACTCTTCAAAACCTTTCCTTCCAGCACAGTGACCAGAAGCAAGAGTAAACATCTGACTTTCTTTTCCTGTGCTGTCATTCTAGCATTCTTTTTCTCAAACAGATGTGTTCTGTTATATTCACCTGCTACAATACAGCCCAAAGGTATCGATTTGGTATATTCCTGTCACTGCAAATAGCCAAGCACCAGTCATGAAAAGCACATCCTTCCTCAAAGAGCACTCACCATCAAGCTTTCTAGCCATTTATACACACTGCTGCCTCCTGGATATCTATCACTCCTCTTTTCAGGTGTATCCTTCCTCTCATCCTTCCATCATGGCCCACTCTATTAAGGCTTCTATCAAAGTACATGACACACAAACAATGAGTATGGCTAGTTGCTACACTAATCAATAACAAATAATTTATCTGTTATTATATCATGTAACATTAGCCTTTGCAAACCCAAAAATAAAAAACAATGAATACAGTGATCCCTCGGTTAACGAACGCCTCGGTTAACGAAATTTTGGTTAACGAATTACCTTCCAAAGAATCTTCAATTCAGTTAACGAACAAAAATTCGGTTAACGAAATCATGTCAACATGTTTTCGCCTGCTCACCAGCTGGAATATTAGTCCGCCAATACAGTAATCGGTTCTAGGGCTTAAATTCGTTCCCATTTGAGTAAATATCAAGAAGGTTGTACTAGTCAATAATTTTCCAAGTTATATTTTAAAATTTGTAGTCATTTTAACACTTATTTAACATAATTGCAGTACAGGAAACAATTTTTTGGTGCGCCAATCAGCCACTTGACTCACCCACAAAGGCGTCAGTTTGTATCTCTGGTCAGTGGAGGTAACATCTTGCTTGTGGCTCTCTTGAACATAAACTATTTTTACGTTTTTACAGTACAATTACTGGTCATTCTGAAATTTATTCAACATATTGACAATATATAGCGCAGTGCAGTGTTGATTTAAATAAAATAATCTTTATTTACAGCAATTAAACTTAAAATTTTAGTGTTGAAATTTTTATCGAATCCAGCATGGGTCCAAAGAAATCTAGAAAGGCGATTTCAATCCAGGTAAAACAGGAAATCATAAAGAAACATGAAGAAGGCATTAGAACAAATGTGCTTAGTAAAGAATATGGCATGTCGGCATCAACCGTGTCGACAATTCTTGCACAGAAAGACAAGTTCAAAAAAGTGAAAGTGGGAGACAAATCTACCAGAGTGTTTAAAGGTAGATCTATAATTGCAGAAACAGAGAGGTTACTTCTTATTTGGATTAAGGAAAACAAATGAAAGGGATTCAATTTCGACTGAATTTATTTGTGAAAGAGCCAGGGAAATTTACGAACATTTGAAAGAAGAGCAACCTGGTTCTTCTGGCACAGAGTTTGAAGAGTTTAGGGCCAGCAAGGGCTGGTTCAAAAAATTTAAGAAAAGAAGTGACATTTTCAGTGTTATTAGGCATGGTGAGGCTGCCAGTGCAGATAAAGAAGGAGCAGCAAATTTGTAGTGGAGTTCAAGGAACTGGTGGAGGAAGAAAATTATCTTCCACAGCAAGTGTTCAATGTGGACGAAACCGGGCTGTTCTGGAAGAAAATGCCCAAAAGGACATTCATCACCAGAGCTGAAGCCTCTTTACCTGGGCATAAACCCATGAAGGACCGTCTCACTCTATTGCTTGGTGCCAATGTTTCAGGGGATTTCCGACTGAAGCCTATACTTGTCTACCACTCTGAGAACCCCAGGGTAAGGAATGGGTGACAAGACAGCTCTTTAATGAATGGGCTGTTGAGGTGTTTTGCCCTTCTGTGAAGAGCTACCTAACAACCAATAAACTCCCTTTAAAGGCTCTTCTCCTTTTGGATAATGCCCCTGGTCATGACCCTCAACTTGCCAGCACTTTGGAGGCTCAATTTGACCTTGTCAAAGTGTTGTTTTTGCCTCCCAACACTACATCAATTATACAGCCAATGGACCAGATTGTGATCAGCAACTTCAAGAAGCTGTACATGAAGAAAATGTTCAGGAGGTGTTATAAGGCAACTTCCACCGATCCTGAACTAACACTGAAACAGTTCTGGAAGACACAATTCAACGTCCTGGAGGCTGTAAAATTGATTGTGTCATCATGGCAAGAAGTCTCCACTAGATCCCTCAATTCTTCATGGAAAGCACTGTGGCCATCAGTAGTCCATGATTTTGAGGGATTTGAGGAAGAAACAGAGTTGGACCAGGAGATTGTGTCCATTGGTCAGTCATTGGGCCTTGAAGTGGAGGAGGAGGATACGGAAGAGCTTGTGATGTCTCATGAGGAGGAACTTACTCCTGATGACTTGAAGCAACTGGATGAGATGTTACAGGTAGAGGCTGACAGTGGTGAGGAGGAAATTGAAAGTGATGACCATATGTCAGCTAAACAGTTGAAAGATGTGATTTACTACTGGGAGAAGTTCAGGGAACTGGCTTCAAGGCACCCTGATGTGGAAACAACAGAACCTATTTTGTGTAATGTTGAGGACAGAGTGGTCTCCTTCAAAAATCAGCAAATGATGAGGAGGAGAAATGCCATACAAACAAAAATTGACAGTTTCTTCTCTAAAAGGCAGCGGGAGAAAGATGCTACCCCTCAGCCTTCCACTTCAAAAAAGAGAGAGGATTTTCCTGCTGGAGAATCTGTCAGTCCAGAAGTTCCTGACATTTTTATGGAAGGTGACTCGCCTTCCATGAAGAAGTAAAATGGTTCTCCTCTACCCCCACTTCCTTCTCTTCTCCCTTCTCCTCCTCCACCTCCCACTTCAAATTCACATCAGCATCATCAACCAGGAGCCTTCTACATACACACCCCGAAGTAAGTGTACAGTCAGCCCTTCACTTCCACGGGTTTAGCATTCACTGATTCGCAAATACGCAGATTGCCCCGCCGGAGGAATATTCTGTACATTGAAGTAATTGAAGTACGTACATTTAAATCGCGCGCGGCACCGAACACTGCCCGCTTCCGTTACCTCACACACACACACACACAGAGCGCGTCGTCACCCTCACTCAGTCAGTCTCGCTGTAACCATGCTTGTGTTGACATCAGCCTTGTAGTTGCAAAAATATTACATTTCCGTGAATGTATTGTATCAAGCACAGTATGAATAGAATATCACTAATATAACAGTATTTTAACCGAACGGGTAACATGTCTTGAACATCGGAAGGTTTGGTAAAGTCTTTTGTTTTCATGTAGTTTATCCCAATTTACATTGAAATACATTACGTTTCAGCAAAACTACTATTTATTTCTGAGAATATGGAAATGCTGAAATGACGATGTATTGGATGAAAGTGATTTCGTTGTTAAAAGATGTTAACAGAATCGATTGACGGTTTTCAGTTAAAAACTGTTGTACATCAATATTCTATCCTAATTCACTTGTGATGCAACAGTTTTTAACTGAAACCATTCAAAAGCGATTAAGGTAACATCTTTTGAACAAAAGAAAGCTTAAAGTCATTGTTTTCACACGATTTTATCCCACTTTCCACTTAATACGACGCTTTCGCAAATTTTTCCGTGAATGTAGTATATCACACAGTATGAATAGAATATCATTGCAATATAACAGTATTTTAACAAAAAACTATTAAAAAACGAGTAACATCTCTGAACATCAGAAGGTTAGGTAAAGTCCTTTTGTTTTCGTCATGTATTTTATCCTATTTTACATTGAAATACATCACGTTTCAGCAAAACTACTATTTATTTCTGAGAATATATTCATTCAGGCGCAGTTTAGGTAAAATATACATGGGATGTAATAGTTTTTTAACTGAAAACATTCGAAAAACATGTACCCTCTAGCCCTGTTCAAGGAGAAGACTGGGAGGAGCTGTTTGGTGCTGAAGGCGATGATAAGGAAAATGATTTTGATGGTTTTAATGAAAATATTCAGAAATATGGTATCTTAGTATTTATTCAAGTGAATTAGGATAGAATATTATTGTAATACAACAGTTTTTAACAGAAAACCATTCAAAAGCA